TGTGTCTTTATATAAAATCACTTGAATACTAATGAAGAGGACTTTATCGGGTATAAAGGTTCATGCACGTGACGTGTATGGTGGCTGCAACTGGACCATAAGCTTATGAATTATTAATGAGTGTTTTAAGCAAATTTAATGGCAAATTGAGAGTCATTAATATAAATAAGAAATAACACGGGTCCAAGAATTGATCCCTGAGGAACTCCATAAGCTGTAATTAAGTATTCTGAATTTTCGTCATCCATGGAAACATATTGTAAGCGATTGTTCAAACAGCTTGCAAACCACTTAAGAGTATCATTTTTTATGCCATAATAGGATAGTTTATCTAAAGAAATGTCATGGTTAACAGAGTCAAATGCTTTTGACAAGAGAATATGAACTAGTTCATTTTCTCTTGCTTTTGACAGATCCAGAAAGATGCCTACGGTAGTATTACCGGAATCAATGGCGTCAATGATTTTATTTACAAATTCAAGAATTGCTAAAGTGGTATTTCGTCTTTTTCTAAAACCAAATTGAAAATCTGAAAGTAAATGATTTTTTTCTAAATGATCTGTTAATGACTTACAGAAAATGTTTTCAAATATTTTTGAAAAAGTCGGGAGAAGGTATATCGGTCTATAATTGGATACCAGGGATTTGTCACCTCCCTTATAAAGGGGAATGACTTTAGCAATTTTCATTTGATCAGGAAAAATGCAAGTGTTTAGGGAAGTATTTAAAAACATACGTAAGCGGTAGGTTGATAAATTCAGCTGCATTTAAGAGATATCTTATAAGGTTGCCGTCATGACCAGCAGCTTTAGAGGAGTCTAAACTAAAAAACGGGAAGTATTAAAAACATACAAATATTTTCCTTTAATTTCATATGCATTGAAGGGTTTTAAGGCAGTCAAATAAAAATAAGTACGCTCACAACTAACAGCACACGACAAGGAATAACACGGAAGTCAAGCGTGAATAATCAACAAGCAGCCGTGAGCGAAAATAGTTGTGATCGTACTTATTTTTATTTGACTGCCTTAAAATATTTTGAAAACGCTCATACATTTTTTTCATATTGCAATATGTTGGGTGCCTTGATGAATRCTATCGACTGGTGCAAGTCGCTTTGAAAGTTTAGGTCTAGTTTTCGAGAAAATAAGCGGTGAATGATTTCTATGATGTCATTATTACGTCATAATGAAAAGGCCGCTTTAAACTAATTTATCATTTTTTAAACCTTTAATCCTTTCCTGATATTGTGTGAAAAGTGCTTGCAAAGTCTCTGCAGACTATGGCATCCGTTAACAAACGACTAATTTGTTTAAAAGTAGCGGCGATGTGAACTATTTTTAGCGGTGAAATAAACAAAATCTAGCCAAAGGGCGCCAGGACAGAGGGATTGGGTTTTAGATGTATGTGTGATTGTTTCAGTTATTCTAATTGAATTGATATATGTTTGTTTCTAAATGGATACTAAATAGTGATCACTTAT